TCAACTTATCAGCAAATTTTTTTTGTGGATATTGGCAAACTGATTCTAAAGTTTATATGGACAGGCAAAAGACTCAGGACAGACAACACAATGCTGAAAAATAAGAACATGTTGGAGAATTGACACTACCTAACTTCAAGACAACTTCTAATGCTACAGTCATGAAGATGGTGTAAAGGTGGGAAAAGACTAGACAAAGATATCAGTGGATAGAAAGCCCAGAAATAAACTTATACACAGTCCACTAATGTTTGACTAAGGAGCAAAGCAATGCAAATGAGGAAAAAATATTCCTTTCACATGCAAAATCAATAACAAAAAGTGAAGCTAGACATAAGTCTTATACCCTTCACAAAAATTGATTTTGAATGGATACAGCCCCAAATTGAAAACATAATGATATAACGCTCATAGAAGGTAACATAGAACAAAATCTAGATGACCTTTGCTTTGGGGATGACGTTTTAGGTTCAACACCAAATGCATCTTCCATGAATGAAGCAATTGATAAGCCAGACTTCATTAAAATTTTCTGCTCTTCAAAAGACACTCTTAACAAAGTGAAAAGACAAGCCACAGACTGGGCAAAAATATTTGCAGATGATATGTCAGATAAAAAAGCGTGAATTAAAATATACGAAGAGCTGTTAGACCAATGAAAAAACCTTAACAGAAACCTTACTGAATGATTTATACAGATAAACATAAGCATATGAAAAGGTGCTTCACACTGAATGTCATCAGAGAAATGCAAATTAAAACAACAATGGTCAAAATCAAGAACAATATCAGGTGTGAGAAGGATGTGGAACAACAAAAACTCTCATTCCTTGATAGTAGGAATGGAATATTTTACAGTCACTTTGGAAGACACTTTGGCAGATTCTTAAAAACTAAACACACTCTTAGCATATGATCCAGCAATCATGCCTCATGGTATTTACCCAAATAACACCAAGAGTGAACCATAATGTAAACTGTTGACTCTGAAGGAAAATGATGCATCAATGTAAGCTCATGGGTTGTAAAAAATGTGCCACTCTCGTGGAGAATGTTGATAAAAGAGAAGGTTGTGCTTGTATAGCGGCAAGTGGTATAAAGGAAATCCTTGTACCTTTACACTGATCTTTTCTGTGGGCCTAAAATTGCTCTAAAAAATAAAGTCTGTGACAAGAAAAAAAAAAAAAAGATCTGTCAGAGAGAAAGCCTTAAGGGAAATTTAAAATGTTTATTAAACTAATGAAAATGAAAATACAATGTGTCAATGTCTTTTTAGAATTGCAGGACTTTTCTTTATTTATACCTTGCTTACACCTTACGTTAAAACAGAAAACTATAATAGAATAAGATTAAAGCAACAAGAAATAGTGAAAATCAATAATAAATACAATAAACTTTCTACTGTGTGTGTGTGTGTGTGTTTGTGTGTGTATATATATACACACACATATAATGTTAATATACAATGTGTCAAAATTTTGAGTATGCTGCAAACGTAATACTAAGAGGGAAATTATGCATCAAATGCAGATATTAGAAAGGAAGAACCTCAAATCAATAATCCAAAATGTTACTTCAACAAATTTTTTAAAATAAGAGCAATATAAAACACCAAAGCAACCAAAAATAAGCAAATAAAAAAACAGAATTAATTAACAGAGTACAGAGTACATTATACCCAATAAACAGAGGTCAATGCTGATGTTTGAGAATCATCTAGATTGAATACAGAAAAAGAGAGAGAAGGCACCAAAAAAAATTTCAAATAGGCTATTAGGAAATGAGCTAAAATAGGAAGACACATTTCATCAAAGAGGTTATTTTACACATGGTTAGAAATAAGCATCTAAAAACTTGTTCCTCATTACTAAACATTAGGGAAATGCATATTAAGACTATGATGAGAAGAACTGAAAGTTAAAAAAAAAATAGTGACAATACAAAAAACCCAGAAGATAAACTAGATTTCTCACACGTTACTTGTGAGAATATAAACTATTACAACCACTCTGAAATACACTTTGCAATTTACTTCAAACTATACAAGCATTTTCTGTTCAACAGAGTAATTTGTACTTCTGTGCATTTATCCTGTCCCAGAGAAATGAAAATTTATGTACACAAAAAAACTCCTCACTACTGTGTTGGCTTTTCTTTTTGAAAATAATATGTTAGCTAAGAAGTCATAGTTATAATGGTGATAAAATAATTAGCAAATGTTCTAACTTCAGTCCTTATGCAATTTATATGACGTCAACAGAGGTGATAATCAGGTGATCCATGCAAGTATGGCTAAACCGTCCTATAGCGCAGATTGATCAGAACCATTTGTTGTGAAATAGTCTCCATATTTAATTTGGCATTTTTAGTGTTACTCATGGAGATATCATTTTATTTCATTTTATACAGAGAGGTGACTTTAAAAAATTTCAGTGACTCATCAAATGTCATAGTCTCCCATTATTTTTAAGACTGCACTTTCCGCTATTCCACAATTGCTTCCTATAAATTTGAGAATCACATTCAACTAAGTATATTTTCTAAATCTGTCTCTTGATAAATTACATTACACTTAAAAACACAAAATTAGCAAGAAAAGTAATATTTAGTAACTGACATGGAGTTAATAACGAATATATTTAAGTATAACTAATTAGCTGCAAGTATATGCTATATGGAAGTCTAAATGCTATAGTTAGCCATTTGATTGAATTTATCTCTTCTGTTCATGCATGAAGGATTTGTTTTCTCCTTTACAAAAAAGATAAAAGGGAGATAGGAGGCGGTTAGGGAATGATTAGGCAGATAGCAAGAGAGGGTCTTGGAAAAACAGTAATGAACACCCTTGCACCATCTCCGTTATGCACTTAGCAGTTGAAAATGTGGTTAATGCAGTTAAGCACTTCCTGCTATACCAAGATGCTTGCTCAAAAGGGACTGTCCCAACTCAGATGCTGGTGCAATAGCTCAACTAAATGTCCCGGACTTGACCTAAACCGATTATAATACCATTAACATAAAATTACCCTAGGGATCCTCCCACTCCCATTATACACCTGACACCATGACAGTACTGATATAACCCTATAAGACCTAAAACTCCCCCACCCAACATGAGGTAGGAGTAACAGCAACCCAGCCCCCAAAACCCCCATTTCTAAGAAAAAAAACACCCCTAAAGACAACCCTCAGTAGCCCTAAGAATAAACGTTATAGCTCAACAATAGTTAGGTGCAGAGGCAGCAGCTTCTACAGGCTGTTTCTGCCCACTGTTCACTCTTGAGAGTGTACTATTCTTGGCTCAATGAAGCTATTCACTTGTCTTGCTACTTAATATGTCTGTCTGCGAATTCTTTCCAAACTGAACACAAGAATCCAGGCGTCAACATCAACACTGGGAGCTGCACCCCTTTGCCCGGTAACAAAAGTAACTAATGAAATACTATGCTGCTGTCAGCAACTGGGGGTTGAGAGTCCTTATTAACCAGAAAAATATAGAACTGACAATATTAACATCATTTACCAGTGCTGGGACTCGTGCTGCGCTTTGAAAGATTGAGAAATCTACCAAGACTTAAAGGTAAATAATTTTTGATAACATCAGCACATTATTTGATAGTAACACTAAGAACGGGTGTAAGAATCTGGCAAAAGTCAATAGATGATAACAGGAGGCAGGGGAGGAGCAGTAGCAAGAAGCAAGGTAAAGACAGCTTGCCCAGATAGGTCTATATTTAGGCAAGAGGCCATGTTGGAATGTTGACTCAAACATTATGGGACAAGTTAAGTAAAGGGAGTAGAAGAAGCCATCAGGGCATTTGTCTAAAAGGATGGGAGACAAATGTAAGATAAGGTCATGAGTAATACCAATGCTTTAGAGGTATGGGGTAGAAAAGGGGCCAGCAAAAGGGAATGCTAGGACTGCTTTCACTTTAAATAATCTGCAATCTACAAAGACAAGTCCAATGGCAAATAGAAGACAAGAATGGAATATCCCCCCCAGACAAAAAACTAAAGAGAAAAATTAAGATAAATTCATTAAAATATATACAAATCAAGAAGGAGTTGCCTTGTTAAAAGAAGAGGGAGAGTATCTGATCTGAATATGGAGAAGTGTGTAACAGGAGACTTTGCCTAGAATCTCACCTAGGAGGTATTCAAGCCTTGGAAGACATTGAATGTCTGGCTAAGACTCTTTCCTCTGAATTTAATAGGAAAGGGGTATAAAGAAATTATGGTAATTTTAATCCACGGTTGGAAAATTAAATTTGGCTTCCATGTCTATAGAAGCAATTTTTCACTTTGCTATTCATTGCTTATCCTTTCATTCCTACTGAGATAATGCATTTATAATTTATTCTAAACTAAACATTGTTATTGTGAACTTCACATTGGGATAATGGAAATAATTCAAATTTTGATGACTTAAAAATATACATATTCCTAAAAATAAAAGCAGTGAAGCTTTTTGATGAGTTAAGATAGCATAGTCAATATATTTCAGAATCTCAAAAATTTTCATAGTGAAAAAAACATCATTTCACCTTCTTCAGCATAGCACTATATGGGGAAAGTGAATTGACTTTAAAACTATTTTTCTGAAGAAATGTGTATTTATATTTAAAAAGAAAATAAATAATGATAATAAAAAGTGAGACTTTTAAAAAGTATTTTAAATTATTATTTAGAATGTGAAATCACCAAGTGACTGCTCTAGTTCCCATGAAGATATTTCAGTGTGACATAAATGCACTTCGTAAGGAATGAAAACTAAGAAATGTAATTAGTTGTACTCAATTTATTTAAGTGATGTGTTTAAGTAAAAATTTGCCAATAAAACCTTGAAGCTAATTTGTTGTTTTGGTCACGGGGATATTTCAAGGGAAGCGGCCAATGTATGCTTTTTGTATTACTGGTTCTCTGAAATTTCCTCCCTTTTGCTTTTTAAATGACATTAATGTAGTTAGAGGTGTGTTATGTGATGAATTTCTTGGGTTTACCTTTGCTTCAATCTGTTTAGTATCTGGATTCTGAAACAAAAATTTGATTTTGCTCTTGCCGTCATCTGAAGAACCTTTAAGCTGAGAAAATTTATACCTCCAAAGTACAGCCTAAAGGGAAAAAAAGAAACAATGTAAGTCAATGGAATTAATATCTGCATTCAATATGTCTTTTTTAAATGGTAAAAGTTAACTATATAAAGTTAATACTATGTCCCAATATTTTAAAAGTAAATTAGGAAATGCTTATCAAAGTCTATAATTTTTTATTAAATATATCCTTGAATTTTCAGAAATAAAATTGCTCCCTTTAAATAGTCATTGCAAAAAATATATATAAATAAATTTCTTTTAGTATCTTTTCTTATGTGCATATGAAATAACTATTTGTTTCTTTTTTTCCCCCATAGAACTGAGAAGGTGATTTTGAATCTATTATTCAGGAACTTTCATTCCAAGCTCAAAACGAGTAACCTATGGCTTTATTAAGGTGACATATGATCTTTAATAAAGACTTAAGACAAAAACTTACATGTTGCTCTGATTTGATTGCAGTAGAATAAGCATTTCATAGAGCCATACCTATCAATCTATAATATCTTAGGAAATAGAGCCTCTCTCTGAAATAAATTCTACAAATGCAATTCTCTAAAACTGAAAGTAACAAAATCTATTGCCTTTTCAGATAAGAAAATGGTGATACAAAAAGGTTAAATTGGCAATAAATGGGAATTCTATTACAAAAATTCTTATCTCTTCTAAATTATAAATTCTGTTACCTGAAAGTAAGTGTGACATTTGTTCTTCAGAATGTCCTGAAACTAAAAAATGCATTCCCCATATCAATTACCAAATGTATAAATCATTAAAGTAGAAAGCTATGCCTATGTATTCAAACACAATCACGTACCATGTAGTTCTGTTTTACATTATCTTAAAATACCTTTGTTGCATTGAACATACGATAAAAATGCATTTGACAAATTATTTCAAATATTAAAAATGATTTCTGGTGGTTTCTAAACAGATAAATACAAATGGCTAATGTAGTTCATTTTTTTTCCTAGGTGCCGTACTATTTAACCTATTGTCTCTTATGAAACAGTAAAGAAACAACACAGTAGGCATCTCACATCTTTTTCAGAATAAAAGGTAATAGAAAAATGTCTGGCAGGGCTTTGTGGCTCAGCCTGTCATCCCAGCACTTTGGCAGGTCAAGATTACTGGATTGCTTGAGCCCACGGGTTCAAGACCAGCCCGGGCAACTTGGCAAGACCTCGTCTCCACAATAAATCAAAACTTAGCCGAACATGGTAACCTGTAGCTCCAGCTACTTAGAAGGCTGAGGCAGAAGGATCACCAGAGCCCAGCAGGTCGAGGCTGGGGTGGCCATGAGCGTGCCACTGCACTCCAGCCTGGGTGACAGAGTGAGACTACAACTCAGAAAAAAAAAAAAAGAAACATGTCTGTACAGGCATACCTCAGAGATCTTGTGGATTTGGTTCCAGACCCCCATAATAAAGCAAATATTGCAGTAAAATGAATCATATGAATTTTTTGGTTTATCAGAGTATATAAAAGTTATGTTTAAATTATACTGTAGTCTATTAAGTATGCAATAATAGGTCTAAAAATAATTTACATGTTTTAATAAGAATATACTTTATTGATAAAATTTGTTAATAATCATCTGAGCCTTCAGTGAATCATAATTTTTTTGTTGATGAAGGGCCCTGCCTTACTGTTTGACTAATCAGGATGGCGGTTGCCGGAAGTTGGGGTAGCTATGACATTTAATTAAAATAAGACAACAATTTAGTTTGCTGCATCAATTGACTCTTCTTTTTATGAAAGATTTCTCTGTAGTATGTGATGTTATTTGATGGCATTTTACTCACAACAGAACTTATTTCAGACTTGGACTCAATTCTTTCAAGTTCAAGTGCTGCTTTATCAAGCCATTTTTTGTAATGTTCTAAATCCTTTGCTGTCATTTCAACAATGTGCACAGCATCTTCGCCAGGAGTAGATCCTGTCTCAAGAAACTGCTTTCTCTGTTCTCCATAAGAAGAAACCCATCATCCATTAAAGTTTAGTCATGAGATTGCAGCAATTAGTCACATCTTCAGCGTCTGCGTCTACTTCTCGTTCTCTTACAATTTCCACATCTACACTAACTTCCTCCATGGAAGTCTTGAATCCCTCAAAGTCATCCTTGAAGGTTGGAATCAACTTCTTCCAAACTCCTGTTAATACTGCTATTTTGGCCCCTTCCCATGCACCACAGATAGTTCTGAGGGCATCGAAAATGGTGACTCCTCTCCAGAAGTTTTTCAATTGACTTTGCTCAGTTCTATCCGAGGAATCACTCTTCATGGCAGTACTAACCTTTCAAAATGCATTTCTTTTTTTTTTTTTTAACAAGAAAGATTCATTTATTTTTATTTTTTTATTTTTAACGTTTAACTTTTTGTATTTTAAAGATGTAGAGTACAGTTCAGGGTTGGGTCTACAAATGATCATCATGCAGGGACTCTTTTCAATGAGGTGTGCCCCGTCTTCCCCAAGCATAATCCCACTACTGCCAATTCTGCTTCCCCGCCCCCCTCCTGGCAGTTTCCTTCTACCACCCACCTTTTTCTTATAGTACTACGATAATTGTTCAAGGTCTGCTTATGAGTGAGATCATGTAATACTCAGTTCTTTGTTTCTGTGAAAGATCACTCATTATTATAGACTCTAAGTCCATCCAGGTTGCTGTGAAGTTCATGATTTTGTTCTTCTTTATGACTGTGTAATATTCCGTCATGTATATATACCACTCAAAATATATTTCTTAAATAAGATTTGAAAGTAAAAAATATTGTTCGATCTATGGGTTGCAGAATGGATGTTGTGTTATTATGCATAAAAGCAATATTAATCACCTTGCATATTCTCCACCAGAGCTTTGAGTAACCAGTCACATAATTAATGATCAGTCATATTTTGAAAATAATTGTTTTTCCTAAGCAGTGGTTCTCAATAATGCTGCAAATGCTGGATGATGTGCTCTCATCCAGGCTTTTATGTCCCATTTAGAGCATTGGCAGAGTAGATTTAGCATAATTCTTAGGGCCCTAGGATTTTCAGAATGGTAAATGAATGAATCAATTTAAAGTCACCAGCTGTATTAGCTCCTAACAAGAGAGTCAGCCTGCCCCTTGAAAATTTGAACCCAGGCATTGATTTTTCTCTAGCTATGAAAGTCTCAGATGGCATCTCCTTCCAATATAAGGGTGTGTCATCTAATCTAAAAATCTGTTGCATGGTTATCTCACACTGGCACTGACAAAATGGCACTGGTAAAAGCGGCAAAGGATGCATTTAAGAATAAATGAAAATGAGTTCAGTAAAAACGTATCTCCAACCAACAACTACACCATAAATATTCATATGTATGATTCTCTGTGTGATAGTGTATTCAGCTTAGATATTATAGATTTATAATTAGACCTTAGTCATGGTCCCCATTTGGGCATTTTTTATTGTAAGGGTCAAGGTAACAATGCCTGACATTCAAATTACAACTTTCACCTTCAACTCAATAAAGACGTTTCTTTTTTTTTGCTTTTCATCTTGTTACGTGAGGAATAATTATAACTTGGATTTAAAAACTTGCCTTACACAAAAAATCTGTACTATTTAGTCTAGATTTATTAGGCAACAAATATAACTTGACAGATGTGAAGGGATAGCTTGTAGAATGCTCAAAACAAAAAAATGTTTGAGAAGGGTCAATGATCTGATGATTGTTCCAGTAAATACATCACTTCAGAAAGATTTGTCATAGTAACACTGCAGCACAACTCTTTTCTGGTGGAAATCAGTGTTTTCTGCTATTCCCTTTCAGGAGACATCCTTTGAATTTATATAAGCCTACAGTGTATTATAATACTTTCTCAGATTTGTAGCTGCAAGAACACCTGAGAAGTATTACCCTGGAGCAAATACTTTTACAGTAAAACTTCTTTCTTACTAGATCAAAATTCTTTCCAGAAGTCTATAAGGTTGTTTGGTTAAAATCAATCTTCTGAGCCGGGCTCGGTGGCTCAGCCTGTAATTCCGCGCCTTTGGGAGGCTGAGGTGAGTGGATTGCCTGAGCCCGCGGGTTCAAGGCCCGCCTGGGCAGCGAGACCTCATCTATACAATAAATCAAAAAATCAGCTGGGCGTGGTAGCGCATGCCTGTAATTCCGGCTACTCGGAAGGCTGAGGCGGAAGGATCGCCGGAGCCCAGCGGGTCGAGGCTGCGGTGGCCGGGAGCGGCCACTGGGCTCCAGTCTGGGCGACCGAGTGAGACTCCAACTCAAAAAAAAAAAAAAAAAAAGACTGTTATGAACACTATTGTACAGCTATCTGCTTAAGTTCTGACTTTCAATTCTTTGGGGTATAACTAAGAAGTGGCATTGCTGGATCACATGGTAATATGTAATTAACTTTTTGAAGAAACTGTAAAGCTTTTCAGTGGCTAGACCATTGTGCATTTCCACCAGCAATGTGAAAGAAAGAGTTCCAAGTTCTCCACATTTTTACCAACACTTGTTCTTTTCTATTCTTTCTGGTAATATCCATCCCAGTGAATGTAAAGTGGTTATCACACTGTGGTTTTGACTTGCATTCCCCTGATGTCTAGTGATGCTGACTATCTTTTCATGTGCTTGTTGACCATTTTCATATCTTCATGGGAAAATGACTATTCGATTTCCATTTTGCATTCGGTTGTTTGTTTTGTTGCTACTGAGTTATAGGGATATTTTATATGTTTGGGATATTAATCCCTTATCAGAATTATGATTTGCCATATTACTCTTTCATTCTATGGGAGGTTCTTTCTACTCTTTTGTAGTATCTTTCGATACCAAAAAAGTTATTAATTTTAATGTGGTCTGATTTATCCATCTTTTCTCTGTTGCTGTGCTATTGGTGTTCTATCCAATGTACCACTGACAAATTTAAAATCATGAAGATTTTTCCCCATGTTTTCTTCAACAAGTTTTATGGTTTTTAATTATTATCTCTATGTCTTTGATCCATTCTGAGTTAGTTTTTGCATATTGTAAAAGGTAACAG